CTGGCAGGTGTACTTCCCGACAGAGGACGGCGATGGTCGTTCTATGCTAACGCCATGCTAATACCTGGCAGGTGTACTTCCCGAAAGAGGACGGCGATGGTCGTTCTATGCTAACGCCATGCTAGTACCTGGCAGGTGTACTTCCCGAAAGAGGACGGCGATGGTCGTTCTATGCTAACGCCATGCTAATACCTGGCAGGTGTACTTCCCCGAAAGAGGACGGCGATGGTCGTTCTATGCTAACCATGCTAATACCTGGCAGGTATACTTCCCGAAAGAGAACGACGACGGTCGTTCTATGCTAACGCCATGCTAGTACCTGGCAGGTGTACTTCCCGAAAGAGGACGGCGATGGTCGTTCTATGCTAACGCCAAGCTAATACCTGGCAGGTGCATTTTCTGAAGGATTCTTGGCAGAATTCTGTTCTGTATCACTCTCCTCATCACTGCTCAGTTTCAAATCCTCTATCAGCGAGCTGTGTAACAAAAAAAGAAATGGCTTACACACTCCTAGTAACTGTATGAACATTACATACCAAATACGGATTTTATTTACAAGGTGTGCGAGAGAAGACACAAATTTATGTCTCTGATGTTTAGTCTCTCTGACGTCAGAGAGAGGTGGACCCTTACTTGGTTTGGTCCCCATCACACGCTTTGGGCTGGTGGCCGGTCACTGAGGATGTCTTTGTTAAATTGTACCTCTCTGAAAATAATAAGGGGGGGGAGAGACAGAGACTAAGCACAGACTAAAAAAGACTTCCTAGGCGGAAGGTTTGCTTAAGTAGGACTGTAGTTTGTCCTTTTCAATATTCCGAAGTAGCTGTTCTCAAAACTACTTCAAAGAATTTTAGGGAGATGAAAAAATATGGTGGGAGGGGGTTTAAATATTAATAATAAAAAAAAACACACAATTAGGTTAACTCATGCAAATGACAGTCCTTAAATGGTAAACCTACTGTTACTGTGTCCTCCACTGGGGAAACTCGCTGGGTGCTGGGCATCCTATAAGGGGAGGGCTATATTTTAAAAACACGCATTTTAATCGTACAGTTTTAAAAAATTATTATTCATACGGAGGTGCAGTTCTGAACCCTGTCTTAGCCAAGCTCTGGCCTCTCCCGCTGACCTTGGAGGGGAATGGAAACTTGGAAGGCTCCGTTTTACAGGGGGTGTGAATGGCAGTCAGTGGGGGCGGCCATGACTGAGTCATTTCCTGCGCAGGAAAGGGGGGGCAGAACATTAATCCAAGGAGACCAGCATTCAAAACTCTCAACTCTGTTATGGATTTATTCTAATCTGGAAGCAATCTCCAAAAAAAAAAAAAAAAAACTGCCCAGTGCACAAAACATCACATCCGAAATGTGTTTCACAACCCAGTTAAGACACAAATTCACAAATTAAAGAACGGACTTGTAAATTCAAATGAACCACTCTTACTGCAGCCGTCTTACCTTTAAGATTTCATCTACACAGTTAGGATCTCCTGACATGGATGCCTGAAAACAAAAAAAAAAAGAAAATTGTATACACTACACTATTTCATCCAAAACGATGTACAACCGAGAAAGCAGGGTAATCCCTGGGGAGGGCAACATCACAGTGCCGACCCTGGATTTTAAACCAGCGACCTTCCGATCACAGGCCCGGGGTCTTAACCCGCTGAGCTACACGTCATCCCAATACTGTGTAATACCATTCAGAATGAAAGAGTGATGCATTGACATCACCACTTTCACCGCGGACGAGATTTACCTCCAGCGGTTGCGAGGGAATCTTCAGCTTGGAGAGGGAGGCCTTGCTACTACATTTCACCTCCCCGGCGGCACCACCGCTGCTGCGCGACTGGCCGCCGTAAGCCTCCGTCTTTGGCTCCTGGGTCTCCTGGCCGTCCATGGGCCGCACGTAGGCGGTGGGCTTCTGGGGCATGGAGCTGGGCTTGGATATGAGCGAAGGAGGGAAGGACTGGCCGGTGTGCTGGCTCCCACCGGAGAAGGTGTGCACGCGCGACGGAGAGTCCCAGTTGGCGTCGTGCTCACGCGGCGACTTGGAGCGGTAGCACTCCTTGCCGTGGTGCTCGGCCGCGTGCGCCCGCGAGTGCCCGGAGCCCTTGGTCGGGCTGGATGCACGTGACCTCGGGTGCTCCGAGCTGTGCTTGCTGGACCGCTTGCTACTACCATGGTCGCGCTCGTGCCGCTGGGTCCCGCCGCTGCCGGCGAGCCGAGGACCGCCGCTGTGGCCGGCCTGGGAGCTGGACCGCTTCTGCGACTGCGACGAGGTGCTGGGGGCGGGGCCCACGGGGGTCCATTTGCTACTTGGGCCGCCCCCTCCCGAGCGCTGCAGCGGAAGATCCCCGAAGGGCGGCGCGCCGGGCTCCTCGGACGAGGGCGCCCCCCCGGGGGGCTTGGGCACAACGCTGAGCTTTTGGCGTGGCGGTTCTCCACCCTCTTTCATCTCGTCGTAGTTCCCGAGCATGCTCTGAATGCGGCTGGAGAGCTTGTCCTCTTTGCTTGACTGCAGAAAGGGAGAGATGGTGCAAAAAAGGATAGCCAACGATTAACCAGAGAGGCCAAGAAATAATAGGTAAAGGTACAACCTCACCTGTGCGCAATACAACTCGGTCTTTAATGCTATTTTTGTGCTGTACAGGCCGGTTCTCGTGGCGTCCCCAGAGAATAGCCAGCGTAAACACAGCACCAAGGAATAAGCACAATATGGACAGAATCTCTCCCAGGCAACTGGCGTGGTTAATTAAACCTGGCGTGGTTAATTAAACCTGGCGTGGTTAATTAAACCTGGCGTGGTTAATTGCCTGTAACGTCAATCAGGGCACCGCTGCCCATTTCCTTCACAAAACCTGTATAACCAAACAGCAAAACCAGCTGCAAGGCATCAGGTGAAAAAAATGGCGATTGAAAAGGAAAAAAAAAAAAACACGGCTTTGAAATCCGGTGCGCTGCCAAGAGTTACACTCGTTAAATGGTACTTAAACTACAATGTACACAGTGCTCGGTCCTAGTCGAAAGCCCCAGTTGTTGAGGCAATGTCTCCCTGAAGAGTCAGTGGCTCAGGAAAATCCAGCACAAAAACATTCCCTCAATCGTCACATCAAGCCGCACAAACACAAACAAACAGAAGATGTGGATCAGCAGGGCTATGGACAGCTCTGAATTGCACACGCTGGCCTTCCTTCTTTAAAAGCATGTTAGCAAGGCTTTTTAAAGCATTCACCATTCTCAGTAGACACCATGCACAATAAACTGTCCGCAAAGGACTTAATTTTCAGGAATGAATAAAAATGCATTCAGGAGAATAATAAAACTAGTTAAAATATCAGTTAAAACACTAAGACCTGCTTGAGTTAGATCAGCCCTTGAACCCTAGCAAAGCTCCAGTTAAAAACCGTGACCAAGCTTTTTTTTTTTCCTCTACGTATGAACCCACATGAACCCGTATGAACATGAGCTCATGTGTAGTATCGCTTATTTCCCGGGAATTCGAAACAATGTGCTGCTCCCCCCCCCACCCCACCCCACCCCACAAAATGCACACTGGAAGGCATTAACCATCACAAAAATCGAGATTCAATCACTGCTGTTTATTGCGGATTTTTGTTTTCGCTTGAGTGGCTTAAATTTTCCACGGCTGCTTTCCGACCACCCTGCAGCTGTGAATCTTAATTTGACCCTTACACACTTAGTATCTGTCCCCAAAAGCAGCCTAATTCCCAGCACTGGCTGTCTGGGCTAGGACGGAACGCACTCGACCTGTCAAGACTCATTCCTATTGAGGCTTCTCGATGACAACTAAATTCTCTTCGGAATTACATTTAATGGAGGGTGAGGCCACCGGCCTGACTGTTCTTAGTAATTTTATCAAGCAGATGGGTGTGTGCTTCAAGAGCCGGGGGGGGGGGGGCACCAATCTAAGGCGAGATGTTCAAAAGCTAGGCACTTGCCGAACACTTCTAGGGAGTGAAGGAACGCACTTTGGGATTCAGAAGAAATCTCTCAAGCTTTTTAAAGTACCAATCTGGGACATAATTAGTAAAAAGGTTTAATCTTTGTGTTGTTCCAGCTCAACCTGTAGAAGGCCGTACGCAACCTTCTCCTATCTGAAGCGACCTGAGCTTCTTACACCGATCCCAAAGGTGCACTTACCTCAACCGCCACCGAAACTGTCGAATGCAAATGCGCATGAGGCGTGAGGGTATCAGTAACCCAGAATGATGCAAGAATTGAACACTAAATCTAAAACCAAAACCAGGAGATAAGAAAAAATTATACAAATGGAAAAACAAAACTTACAACTTTATAAGGTTCTGGAAAGAGAGGAGAGCTGGTTGGGAAGGCCTCTCCTCCCGGCTGGATTTCTTGATTTCGCCTTTCGCTTTCTTTCATACGGAGCACATTCCGGTCTTCACGGTTCATGTTGCTAACAACAGAGACACACATCACTAAGTGTGGAGAAATTGGGAAAACTAGCAGCTCTACAGCAAACACTACAAAGGCAACAAAAATGATAAGATCATTTATAAAGGCCCACAAAAGTGGGACTTTGGTGAGTGAGAAATAAAAAACAGAAACCCCAGGTCCTATGCGCTGCCTCTCAAACTGCACCAATACTGCCCCAGAAAACAAAGCCTGAATATAAAAGACCGTTAACTAAAAGCGTGTCATTTAATGAACTATGCATTAACTACATATGACTGGAGAATCTTTTTCTATTACTTCCTCTCAGGTTTAATTGATTTTAGCTTTCTTCATGGTTTAATGCATCACAACCACGGGAATTCATACATACACTGCAGTTTGCCTAACATCAGGACGGCTGCAGATATGCACGTTCTCAAACTTGGACAAAAATGAATTTCTCAACTCACTTTATCATTTAGTGTTCTTAGAAAAAAAAAAAGGGAAGTGCTTTAAAAAATAAGTTAATGGAAATGCAAAGAGAGCAGATGTATCTCTGCCTCAAATTGGCTTGGAAACACTCATGATGTATTGCCAATATTCACCCAATGCCTCCTGGGAAGTTAATTCAAATCCCCACCCCCTCTGTGAAATGATCTCTCAAGTTAAACGCCGGCCAAAGGGGGAAAAAAAAAAAAACTGGAAACAATGACTCTTTGATATTAAAAAATGAGACACTATCATCATCATCTTTAAATGTGCTTTGCAAGGCTGTCTACATGGCTCCAAATTAGCCGATACAACAAATGACTCATTCCATCAAACCAGACTGGTAAGACATTCGGAGCCAGGACAAGACCTGCGGGGGTCCCATACCCTCCGCTCAACACAGATGCATAGAAAATCCATTATACCACTGTATTATAACACCAGCGTTATCCAGATAAAGCATTACACACAATCAGAACAATGCTACCACTACTGCAAATTCTGGGATTCTCAATGTGTAATCAAGGGAGGAATGGCACAAGTTATGCATAATCAGCTATTTCAAAGAATGTTGATACTTCCACAGACAGCAGAGGGAGCCCTAGAGCTCATGTGACAAATTAAACATAATACCTGAAAACTGCTTGTCACCATAAGGTTTAGCATGTTCTAAGATTATGCCCCCCGGCTTAACTACACTGGGCTTTACCCTGCCCCCACAGTACTGATTTTGAATCAACATACACAGCCCAAGGGACTAAACTGTGCAAACATCTTCTGGAAACAACGGCTGATAACCGCTCAAACCTGTGACGTGCTTCATGCATCTGGATAAAACCAGGGCCAAACTGAACTGACCCCACCACATTAGTGACCCTCGTGATGATGCAAGAGAGTCAGTCACTTGTTTACACAGAAAAAAAAACGACTATCAGAGATTTAAACCATGAGAAGTACATGCAGCACGCAGTATGCTTGTACAATTCAATGTTAAATATGGGCACGCAATCCATAAAAGTGTATAAAAAGACAGTCCATTAAAACTGAGCGCTGATGAGAAACTCCAGAAAAGGTGGACTGACTATATAAGACCATTAAATAAAAATCCATTAACTTAATAAATGTGGGGCATAATTTATAAACTTATAGCCAACCATTACAAGTTGAATCACATATTTATACAATTATCACTCCGACAGATATCCATCCATCCCTCAACCCCTACATATACAAACGAAGACAAGCTTTTTGTAACGAATCTTCTGTCGCATCGTATTTCAGATTCGATTTCTTCGCAGAATTGCTGTCCCACTTGAGATTTTCACGCTTCGGAACAAGTGCTGGGGTTATGGGAGTCGTCCCTCTGCCTGAAGCTTGCGCCTGACGAGAGGCAGGTGTAGAAGAGCATAAGCCTGAACTCAGTGGTGGATTAGGGTTAGGGAGTGGCTCCTGGTTTCGGATTCGCAGTCAAGAACATGGCCGTAGTCATCCGACTTCCAGCACTGCGTTAAACCCCCCCCCCCACCACCACCCCCGCCATTTAAAATGTCAGAGTTCTTTCAGTGGTATAAAGTTAAATAGTCCTCACTTCTAAAAAAAACCTTTTCTAGTATTTCTTGAAATACAAATAAGGCCACTGAGAGGTGACTTCAGGTGAGCACCTTGCTTCAGGGTACACATTAGCTGCCGCTCCTAGGAACATCTACTGTTGTACCAGTTTCTCCTACCTTGTGACCACACCACTTCTTGAACACTAGATTAAACAAAAAAAAAAAATTAACTACCATGAATTGGTGACCATCCATTTTGCAGTTGTTTACCTTTCTGATGTCTTGCGCCGCATAAAAAAAAAAAAAAAACAGAATGACATGACTTCGTATGGAATCCTGACTTGTGGGTTCCTCGTGGACAGATAAGTCGGCGAGAAAAGACCAAGGTGAGCGCACTTCAAACACAGTGCTGGGATTTAAAGGCAAATGTAAGGTTGCTTTAAGCACGGCGCACACTCAGTCTCTGCTACTTAACACACTGACAGTGGAGGTAGCTGTACAGAGAAATGAACACAGCGCTCACAGAAAGTCTTGCGATGCTTAATTCTGTAAAAATGTTGCAAATGTATTGGTTTCATAACAGTCCCCTGACAGGCAATGTTTAACAAATCTGCAAATACCTTCTGCAAAGATATTTTCTTAAGTGTCAGTTTTTTTTGACTGACTCATTCAGTTCTGTTCCTGCCACTTTGCTGTTATTTGCAATTGCAGTCACTGGCTGCCAGAGAGATAAACACAAATGTTTGGTGTTTGTTTTGTGTTATATTGCAAACATGCTACTAATTAAAAAGCACCCAATGAGACTGCTTGTCAATGAACTTTTTAACTCAGAACAGCTCTTTTATAACTTTGGGTTTCAATTTATTACTAATTCAAACAAATGGTTTACTTAAAATTACTGGTTGTTGCAATATGATATATGTTTGTAAATAAATGAATTAAGCAATGACTTTGATATAAAACCAATACATTCGCAATATTTTTACTGAATTAAGTAAGTGTCCCACCACTTTCTGTGAGCACTTTACATCCCAGCAGCACCAATGAAGCTACAACAAGCTTAAACACAGAGTTTACATACAGTAGCTTAGGTGCTTAACAGTCTGCTGTTGTCTGACTTATCATACTAACTCATTTTGAAGCAATTAAAGGATTTAAAAAAGGTAAACCTTCAAGACAATGAGCTTACAACTTGTGGACCTGTGGTCCAGCATTTTGCCCAGTCATGACATCTCTCATTACAGCCACCAAATAATTAGGGCTGAGAAGGGGGTGACGACATGATTAGAGGGAGGTAAAATGCACGAGAATTTCCAGCACGTTTAGCTACAGCCATAACCTCAATTTAACGCAACTTAATAAAACGTATCCTTGACATACTTCCATTACGAATCGGCCACTGCGGCGAACTGAGGATTTGTTCTTGCGCCGAGACCAAAACAGGGCCACAAGGGACCCGGACTGATTGATATCAGGACGCCAAAAGCATAAACAAACCACGGCTGGGGTGATTTTTACAGCAAAACGGACCAGATGCCAAAACCCAATTCATACATATGACAGGAATCATAAACAAAATCAATTAAACAAACCTCATGAAGACTCAAAATTGCTGCTTTTTGAGCCTACCCTCTCTTTTATCTCATTCCCCCAGCAACCTAATAAAATCCTTTAGAAGTGTAGCAGATATGCAACTATTTATTAAACACCAAAGGGTATCAAAACAAATATATTAAGAAAATATTTACATCTCCCTATCACTGAAATGCCTCATGTCAAGATCAAACAAGATAAGCATACAAGTTGTGACACACAGCGAGGCCATCAATCGAATTCAAGCAGCTGTTACATGCTATCTCAAAATGCTTCATGTGTTATACTTGAATGTTCAAGAAAACCACAAAATGGAGAAACACGCTTTGTGGATGGTTATACAGTAACATCCAATACCTGAAAATGCCACCTGAGCCAAATAAGAAAAAACACAGCCTGCACGTAACAAACTTAACACAAAAAATTGCTATAAATATACAGAAAATAATGCACCTTAATGCTTACAAAACAAGCAGTAACATTTGCCTAACTTTTTAGTTTACGATAAGTAGACACAAATGTGCTCATAGTCCACAATGGCTGGGAACAACCTGTACACAAGACACTTTCCGGTAACATTGTGGTCTAGAAAAATAAATAAATAAAATTATAAAAAAAAAAAAAACTCAAAAAACATTTCTGGCTTACCCTATCTGAGAGGCCATTTCTCTAAGCAGGAAAGCATCACACTACGAAATGCCAAAGGTTTTGCACAGTGTAGTTTCACAAACACAAAGTGTTGCTTCCCATTCCAAAATGTCCACAAGACGGTCTTTTTAGAAAAATCAACATTTTCTGAGCGTTCAGATAAAACTGACTTAGGGAAGGGAGGTTACAGCTCGGTAACAGGAGAGACCAACTGGCCAGGGCTCGCAGGGGTGTTGTGAAAAGGGACAAAAGGTTAGATTGGGAGCTGACTTAAAGGTGGATTGGGGCAGGGCTGTGTCAGCTGAGCAAGTGGCTAAACAGCCTCGGAAACATATGAAATACAGCATAAAAACAGAATGAAAAATGTCCATTGAGTCCACATTACCCTTCCAGAAAACAGAGGAGTTATTGTTCATTTATGACTTCAAGAAAATTCATTACTGAAACGGTCTACTCCACAAGAAAGGTACAGGAGCAGAACCTATTAAATAGTTAAATATGCAAAAAAAGAAAAAAGAAAAATGGATACACCAGACCCCAGCAGCCCTGTACAAAACTGTGATTACCTTCTAACATACTTTATTTTTACATTTCAGTAGTAACACAGTGCTGCCAAAGAACTCTCATAAATGCTGACCCCTCTGCTGTAATAGAACAGTCCATGTTGTTCCATAAAAGGAGATGTTATTTTATCCCGCTGAGCCGCTCCTCCATGTGATGTCACTGCTCAGAAGACAGCCTACCCAACCAGAAACTCCCACCCTTCCTCCCTCACCAGTACACTCACACCATGAGAAACTTATTTAAAGGGAAAGCTGCTGTTTAAGGAGGAATCTGCTCCTCTGTATTACGATGGTTTAATTTCAGCCTCCATGTCACCCTTTATGCTTATTAACATTATTATTCATTTATTTTAGTAATTTAAGTTTTGAACAGCTGATACATATTGTACATCTATTCGTCCATGGTTCGAGCGCTTATCCTGAAGCCCTTGGCAGGACCCAGACACAAGGCTGGGTTACTCCCTAGATGAAGTAGCGTGCCATCATGGGGCCTACACCACTGACAGACACAGGTTAGTCTGTAGGTCCTTGTGGCATGGGTGACCGGAGCACCCAGGGGAAACCCACGGGTCACAGGAAGAACACCCCCCTCCACACACACACACACACACACACACGAGTTTGGAACAGCACATGACATTCTGTAATCATCACATCCATTGTGCTGCACATGCAAGTCAGCTAATTAGTGCCTTTGTTGAATGAGCCTCATTAGACCCCTGACTTGCATCTAATATTTAATCTTCCACATATTCTACCAAACTTATTCATCCAGATGACGTTTCCACGGAGGCCACGGCCTGAGATCCTACAGCCAATGGCATCACTTCTCTCGATTCCAAGGAGAACATGAATCACGCCTAACAGCAATTTCACGAGAGGTGGAGCGGTAACTAACATCGAGAGACAACAGGCGGCATCTCACACTACCTTTAAGGTATATACTAAAATCTGATGTAACAGTACGAATTGCTACCATTTACTGTAAAGTTCACAGTGTTCTACTGCGTGATAAGGTAAAGAAAAAAATGCCTTATGAGGACTGAGCTAAACATTTAATGAGCGCAGGTTAAATGCTGAGCACTGCAACCAGCCACGTACCTTTTATTCCCGCATAAAGGGTTTGAAGTCCTGGACTGCAGGGAGCAGCGCCTCGCTACAGATGGGCCGGCTCGAGAGCGCCAGGAAGCCAGCATATTTACTGCATTTGTTATCTTTTACAATCACTTTCGTCTCTCTGATGGACTTATTGCATCACGTTTTACACGCAACTAAGCTGAAATGCCACTTCCCCTTAACGGATGTCTTTTAAAAGTGCACTTTGGAGACACAGAGTCAGGGGGTCTGTGCATCCAACCTTAAATGCGGCATATAACAGTAAAAGAAGAGAAGTAAAAAAAAAAATGTTTTATAAAAAAAAAAAAAAGGAAGGTGAGGGGGCACATACCAACTGAAGGCTCCTCATGATGATGTTCATAGCGAGTCAAACATTGTTCCTTTTACCTAAACTTCCACAACTACAGATCTCACTAAACAGGTGGGCAGGCTGTATTTGGAACACTTACAAATCTCCTAGACATCAGTGCTAAAATAGCAACAAAACCAGCCCACCCCCAATAAGGTGAGGAGCAATCCCAAACCTACGTGACAAGTGAACATGCATGTCGCTCACAAGCTCCAGTCGCCTTATCATAAATTAACACCAATTATTATTCTGTTCGTACATGACTGCTAATTTAATTTTCACAAATTACAGCCTCTCCCCAGGTTATGATAGGGTTACGTCCCAATAAACCTATCGCAAGGTGAAAATGCATTTTAATACAGTACACCTAACCTAACATCATAGCCTAGCCGACCTTAAACATGCTTGGAACACTTACATTAGCCTACAGGAGCGCAACATCATTAACACAAAGCCTATTTTATAATAAACTGTTAAATCTGTCATGTAATTTATTGAACAATGCACTGAAAGTGAAAAATATTTACCCATCGTAAAGTTGAAATATCGTAACACAGACCACCGTAACCCGGGGAGCGTCTATAATTGATTCAAGGTGAGACACTGAGCAGGATGAGATGCACCCCCCTTGCTCCCCGAATGCCAAGCATTCAGTTTCCTCACTGCAGGCAGCTTTCTTGAAGCAAAGGGACAGACAGTGGAATGATCATGGCCTGAATGTGTGGACTTGAGCCGTTCTACTTAGAGCAACCTAAGCTCAGTTCATGTGCAGTTACATTCCATCGTGTTGTCTCATCAGGATCGAGTGAAGAGATGCAGGCCAAACACACTCTGGTGGCACCAATACCTGCCAACACCTCGTCAATTAGAGAATCCATGTTCATATTATCCTCAGAAACTGCATTCGTTTGCAAAATGCGACATCTTGATAATGAGACCCTATGGTCCAATTCAGCAGAAACTGGAGAAGCAGTCACTGTCTTCCTAAAATAAAGAACTTATGATACTGTCACTTTAACAACAAATTATTCAAATACTCACTTCCTTTGCAGAATTGAAACTTCAGTATTAGTGGTATACTCTGATACTCTCCAGTATCTAGTGATCAACTGCAGGGTTACAGCCCTACCGTCCATAGAGATGATCCTGTGGAGCAGATGCTTTCAGCTGCCACAAAAACCCCTGCACTAGTTAATACTCTCACTTAATGGCACTAGTTAATACTCTCACATAATGGCACTAGTTAATACTCTCACCTAATGGCACTAGTTAATACTCTCACTTAATGGCACTAGTTAATACTCTCACTTAATGGCACTAGTTAATACTCTCACTTAATGGCACTAGTTAATACTCTCACTTAATGACAAGCGAGAGCAAGGCCCAAATGTCTGCCTTAAACTCCTGATAAAGCATTATGGGCAAGCATTGTATCGCACAGTTTCTCTGGTGAGACACATCTCACCTCAACCACTACTTCTAGACATCGCTAGCCTCAGACCAAGCAGCAATACCAGAGTAAACTATAGCCCTATAAAGTTCTCAGAGTCTCCTACAATTCAAGGGACTTGTGGGACTACCTGTCCAATGCTACTTCCCACATCAGTTGGTTCCTTCATTGGAGAGGTAGTGGTTTATTTTTAGCAGAGAGCCTTAATGGGGACAGAAACTGCCCTGCCATTAATGCCCGTGACATTATCCTGCTAACGCAGGTAATGTTTGACACACAAGATGCCTGCTCCGCTTGTACTTTGTATGACTGGCCAGGCTCCAAAGCACAAACACGGCCACAGCAGTTGCTCAGTACCCGCACGGTTGCAGTTTCCCATGGGGATATAATGACAGCCAGCATTCAATTTACAGGGTGAGGGGGAGCCTGCTTTGCATGCTGGGGAATCTAACGGCTGTCGAGGTGCACGATAAGCCAACTATAATGGACACCCGTTATTGCTGCAGTGACCAGGCAGATGCTGATCCATCCCATAATGGATCCTCCATTACAGTAGTCTAGGGTGGACGAAATAATAGATGACATTTATATAGTGTTTTACACAAACCCAAGGTTGCTTTTTACAAGGAGGAGAGGGGGGGGGGAATGGATAGACATTTAGAAGATGCCAAATCTCATTCGTCAGCTGCTTTGCCTACGGAAACAGATATGGGCATAATCTTGCCAAAAAAAAAACCCAGATAAATCTTCAGTTTTGAAATGTGTATCAATGTTTCATGCCTTTTCTCACCTCACACACCTCTGCACCTTTTGTTGGTGAAAGCCAAGATAAGTTACTTATTCGCTTAATTCTAGGCTTCGCTTTTACCAGAGTCTACTGCATGTATTTGCCATAAAGCTTTTAATTTTAAATAAAAATATTCCACAGTTGAAAGTATCTAACAGCTATTCATCACACAGAAGACTTTTCTGCAAAACGAAAGCTACTCCATTTTCTGCATCATAGGGCCTGGCCTCTGATAAGCTAAAACAGAAACAGAAGTAAACCCACAGAGAAAACAAGCAGACGAAAATATAAGCAAGAAGGCAGCCGAAATACACAGAGAAACTCTCTCCCGGCCAGAGAATCCACTGAAACCCACTGAAAGTAATCCCTTGAGTGTCAGGTATCATTTGTCCCATAATCCCCTTCAGTAACACAGCATCGTGGATTTCAGAGCACATTACTGTTTTCCAAATGTGATGTTCCTTTTGTGTATCTGAAATAAGACCAGCACAACTTTCAAGTCGACCAGGTTACAAACCAGGGAGGTTTATTGTTACAACTACAGTTACCTCCCAATTTAGAGGCAAATAAAATTAACATACTTCTCCCTACAGGGAGTTAAGACTTCACAGCCTTATTAAATTACTGCCAGCTTCCTACATTTAAAATATGAAAAACACATTAGGCAAAAAGAAGAATGTTCTCAATAATAGAATGACTATACAAATATTAATGCACCTTAAACCTTTTCTGAGATTTTGGGTTCATATTACTTTTCGCACTGATGTTTTATAGCAAAATTTCATGAACTTCCTGAATCAACCCATCAAGAAGACTCAGACAACTTAAACCATTGTACTAAGGTGAAGAGCAAATATGAATGCAATGATTTACACATTGATGGAAACGAATCCACATACTACCAGTAATTACACTAGGAATCAAAACCAAGTAAATAATACAAGAATCAAAAATAATTCGGGTTGTTTTTAATGCGGTGTTATTTTATGTCACTGACGCACAATATATTGCATTGCGCCAAATCCAGGTCATCTGAAACAGTAAGTTAATTGTAAACAACAGGCAAATTGTTCATGCGTTAGATTTAAGCTCCAAACACCTTTTCTATACTTATCTAACATCAGTATTCAAGGCCAATATACACCGTTTCGCCTCATTTTTACGTAAAGCCTTTTAATCGAGTTTTTATATAATCCAGCAGCAGCGACGCGAACAAAGCATTGACGTCACTAATAAGACAAAACTCATACAGTACTAACTTCAAATTTCAAGGTACTTGGCAGTTCGAGGTAACATTAAATTTCCATACGACAATCATATTATTATACAGAATTACACAAAGCCATTGTTGGTAATCGGTTAGCAGAGCTCATACGTATCACACTTGAGTGGCTTCCTGGATATCAGGTCAAGCCTATCTTTCAGGGAAGTGAAGTTTCTTTATAACAAAGTTTCACTGCGTTTTTGCAACGTTAAATCCACAGCATCAATAAAACAATGAAACGTCCACTTCAAACTCACAATATTAGTATTAAGTATAGGCGTATGTTGAACCCCCACCGCTCCCCAACCCTAATCATGGACTATTTACAACCAATAAACATGACAATTTGACTCATTCTCAGTGAATCGCCATGTTTATTCTATTGCACAATCTGCAATTTACTGTCAGTATTTCCACCCAGTAAAACACCAGCAAAGTGTTAAGCATATGCTGGAACCAAACTAACGATTCACTTAACGCCTGCCTCTAAAGTGGATAGTTAGTGGTTATTGCTTTATCCAGTAACGGGAATAAGCTACCCACTAGGCACAGGAAGCCAACCATTTTAATGCTATTTTATACATTTAAATCTAATCTGAAATCCCCAAATCGTCATTGTAATGGCAGCTCACTAAAATGGTAGTGTCTACATCAGAAAGTTAATCCGCTTACCTCTGCGGTCTTCTTTTAGGCCCGGAACATCTCTAGCTAGCTAAAGGAAAGCCTTTCTCCTTTGTCTTTTTTGCACTTTTCAGCTTATAAAAACACGTTTTTTGAAAAAAATTTACCCGCGGGCCGCGACGATTAATTAGATAAACGGGCCTATTTTCCAAATAAAATGCGTAAAACCCGACTCTTCCCCTGGCTACTGCAGACTCCGTCGCCGGCATGAAAAGTGTCGTCTACATCTTTCTCAATCCGTTTTTTTTCCTTTCCACCCATCCATCCATCCATCTTCTCTCGGATCGAGGGGGCTGATCGTTAAGCACATCCTAAGCGGGGGACACCAGCCAGGCGCACCGACCTCGACTCCTAAACCGCGTCATGTGACGGTGACGCCGGCCAGGCGAAAATGGCTCGCTGGCGCAGGTTAGAACGGAACGGCGTCGTCGCGCGGCGCTGGAACGGGGACGCGCGGCGTGTGGCCAGGCGGCGAGGCAGCCCGTAAATGCCGGTTTTATTTATGTTTTGAGTATTTAGTGGCGCTCCTCCATCCCTTTCTCTGCTGAGCTAACGATGGTGCGTCTCAGGTTTTTATTCCTTGCAAAGCGTTGCATTAGGGTGGCTTAGAATGACAAGGCATTAGTTAGTAACCATTGGAACAAAGTGACTAAAATGGCAACATGGGTAAGAAGAGACAGCCATTTAGAAAGATTTAAAAACAGACACATGTGTCAGTTAAGAAAACGACCTGTGGTTTTGCACTAAGATGGAGAGTGGGGGGCTTATTTTACAGAATGCTTCGCAGTCGTGAAATGGATTAATTGCCAGAAACTAGAGAAACAATATTACAATTGTATGAGCAAAGAGTGCCGCAAGCTAAGAATTTGCAGATTAGGCGTACTAGTGAGTTCCGGGTTAAACCCATACTGTAAACAAGGAATTCCTTGTGCTTTGGTTTAGGTTATTATTACATTTTATTTTTCCATTTAATCCCTGACAAGCTATTAGCGTACGTTTAACTGCAGTTTTTGAAACTGCATGGCATGTTTTTTTAAGTAATGATGAACGTCTCAATTCAGGCCAAAGTATTTTCCCCCAACAATTTAAATTTAAAGTGGGCAGAACTTTTTTGCATAGGCAAAATAAAAGGAAATAATGTTTTTCCATATTCCCAAATCGTGGCAGGCCGCTGGCACGAATTGAGCTGTAACAGGAGTAACCTTAAATATACTTACAAAAATGGAAAAAAGTACAATGCCCAGTTAGTCCGAACTGACTCATTACAGAAGTAATTTAATTAGTGTAATTTTACATTTGTTTCTCATTCTCTCAATAAGCGATTCTTGATTTTGGTAAAGCATGATCTTGGGATTTTGTACATGTAAATATTTAAAGTGTATGTAAAATTCCACCACAATTGTGAAATACATTAAATTTAAAATTAACAAGAGTGAAATGCATAATCTGAAGGGTCCGTTTTCTTAACACTAGTACCCACGCCACGGTCTGGAAATCTCGGATAGAAATTTACCCCTTTTGAGAAACTGTTATCGAATAAACATATTTTTATATCATTCATTTAGATATGTGTCAAATATAACGACATGCCCATTTTTAAATATTTAAGTATTCTGTTTTTGGTTTTACTCATCGTGACAGGTAAAAAAAATCTGTCAACTTCACTTTGAGGAAAAATTGGTCACCTCATTGTTGCCTTTCTGTTTTCTCACATAAACAACTTAATTGTGTCACGCTGTCTAATTTTCCTGTCATTTTACATTCGTGAAAATATACATAAAAGACACGTTATTAGCTTAATTTTTTACGTTTTCGTATGACTGAATTAATCTACACCGGCAACGTTGTGAGGGTCCAAGGATGCGCGCGCTTACAAGCGCGTCATTCACCGCGCGACGCGCTTCTCGAGACGCCGGAAATTCAACATGGCGACGCCCATGCATAGGATCATCGCGCGGAGACAGGCGTAGGTTTTGGCGATTATTCGTATTTTACCGTAAAAAAATTATTCAGCTCTTTCCTTTATATCTTAATTTGAAAACCAAATGCATGCATTTGCGATGTGTGTCTGTATATAACTGTAAATAGGAACGTCATCAATTCGTGGGATGAATAGTTGTGAACGTAGCTTGGTTTCGGTCTTCTAACTTATTCGCCCACTTGCTACCAGGATAATATGCTATGTTAGATTTTTCACGAAAAACTGTGCGCTGATTAAATGTTTATCTTCAGATTTAACTAGCAACAATATAATGATTGTTCTTTTTCAATAGGGAGGCAAACAAACAACATGTTCGATGTCAAAAGTGCTTGGAATTCGGCCACTGGACATACGAATGTACTGGGAAAAGGAAGTACCTCCATAGACCTACAAGGACTACAGAGATGAAGAAGAAACTGAAAGAGAGCGAGAAAATGCTTCCCATCACGGCAGGGTAAGTGTTTATCCACTATTGCTTAAGGAACGACAGATGTGTCAACAGATTAGTCTATTTTTCTGAAGGTGTGCACTCATTTTAAGTGACAGAAATACCATATTATGACCCCTGGTCACGTGTCTATTTGAAAACATGTTAACTTTTTTGAAGTGTTACTTCTTTGTGTTTCCATTAACTATACTACAAACATGGACAAATATGCTATATTATATGAAGGATAGATATTTTATAGAAGACACATTTGCTGTTTTGTGTATTCAGATTTTGTGTGTTTGATTTGTTTAAAGTTCAGTAACACTTTCTATTTATAGACCAGGAACAGAAGGCTCAAATGAGAAGGTGAAAAAGAAAAGGTAATGACCAGCCCCTGCCTTGCTATAAATTTCCTTCCTGCATGGTTCCATGTGGTTGAATGCAGTGTGATGTACACGCTCTGCTTATTTCAGGTCAAAGGAGTCGAGCGGCTCCAGCAGCGGGGACTCTGGCAGCTCCTCCGGCGATGACTCTGACAGCAGCAACTCCAGCTCCTCGTCGGACAGCAGCAGCGACAGCAGCAGTGATAGTGAGGACAGCACCAGCTCTTCCTCTTCCAGCAGCTCCAGCTCTGACTCAGAATCATCCTCCAGCAGCAGTAGTTCCGACGAAAGCCCACCCAAGAAGAGGAAGAAGAAGAAGTAGGAGGAATGGGCTGCATTGTGATCTAGGAGTAGAATTTCAGGCTTTCCGTGACACTACACCAGGACCAAGACCTACCACTCTCCCCATAAAAAACATGTAGGAAGGCCTTGTAGGATATTGGTGTTATGTGGGCAAAAATTCAGTTTTCTGTTAAAATATCATAGGGATGCAAGTTGTAATCTTTAAAAATTCAATCACAATGCAGGCTTTCTCTTATTGTCCATGCAAACTTTGGATTTCAGGTCTAAATATTAAGTCACACATAATCATTCAGTTGAATAGTCAAAACATTTGCATGAATCTTCTCTGAAAGATATGGATCTTTTCTGAAAGATAATATGTAAAATATTGTATGGACTTTTAGTGTTACCGGAAAAAGAAAGATTTGTACATTTTACATTGCAACAAGTCATCGATACTGAGAACTGAAATTGTCTTTTAAGTATAACATTGTAGAGGCAATTATGATGTGGCAAACCCTCTTAATTAAGTTATGTTAAGATAGCAGGTTCAGCATCCAGAATTTGTCTTTGTGGACAGTTCTATGTACAGATTGTTCAGATCTGTGGACATCAGAGATAATCCTTGGTAATGAAAGATATTAAATTACATTGTGGCTTCATTTGGTGGAATGAAAATCTGTGTATAGGCAGTCCCATTTTCCTGGGCCCCTGGCTTGACATGACCTTAACAAATATGTTTCACGATACCTCTTGCCCTTCGTAAACTGGATATGAAAAATATGCTTTAAACAGTGTCATAGTGGAGTTTTTTCTTCATGCATATTGAATCCGGATTAGGTAAAATCATAAAGTTATCTCTTTTGTATAGTAATCCTCACCAGTTTTGGGTACGTGTTTTTTGAAGAACGCTCTTGTTTTTATTTTTATAATGCAAAAATAAAAAGTATAGGACAACTGTGTAATGGTATTTCTGTAGTGTTTGAAGAGTTGAACCCAATACTTAAGAAAAAAAACAAAGCAAAAAAAAAATCATTAAACAGTTGTACCATTACAAATAATTAATGACAGCTATATAAAAATTGCTTGGAGCGTTTTTGGAGTTATGCCAAATTTGGCATTAAGATTAGTTCATCTGAGAAAAGACAATTTGGTAGTTCTTGGATGTATTGTATTAACGCGGCATTTTAACAGAATGGATAACACACATTTGTAATACCCGTGTGTATTTGGCATACGTGCGCATTTCTCCTGTTAGCGCACTTTCCCCTAGCTGACGTCAGCTCTGCGGAAATTTCCAAAGGATTGCTGCTGGCGTGCTTGCCTAACACCCACCACAACATACACACCCATAAAATTGTGTTTTTACGCCAATGTTGTCCTGTAATGTGGGACATTTGGCCGAAGGACGATTTACGGACTGCCGCGACCAAATTTATGCAATCGTGCTAAAGCCAAATGTAAGATTTTTCAAAATTACCACCTTTCAAAAAGTTGTTAATGTGATGCTTTGTAACAATTGACTGCTCGTGTTGGTTGGGCATGCATGGTTTGTTGAGACTTCATGTGTGTGCCATGACACTAATTTACGCGCTTCCGTAAAAATAAGATAATGCACAACTACTAGTTGTAGACTGTTCAATGTGCACCTTGCCCACTGCCCATCGCAGCACGAGACACGCCCCTATTGGCGTTGCGTCACAGCACGAACGCACATTACTCCGCGCAAAAGAATGCATAGGCTAGCATATAGACTTCCTTATTTCCCGTAAGTTATATCCAGCTGTACTTCGCTGCTTGTCTTGTAGTTTATACTACAGAAATTGTTGCTAGAACCAAACTACATGCAGAATAGTAAAAAGGCCTATTAAAAATTAAACCACGCCACGTTCCGCACAATAGCCGATTTGTCTCATTCTTAAGTGCTGGCCTTTTAATGTAACATGTTATTCCAAATGTGATATATATATATATACTTTATAGTGTAATGTGTTAAAAATATCACATATTATGAATACTCAAACTCCAAGAGGCACGGTGTGCCCAGCAAAGCCTTCAGATTAGTCACACGCCCTTTAAACGGCTGTGGAAAAGTCGAGAGCAATCTAGAACAGATGAGATCTCGCGAGAGCGGGGGTTTTACATTGTGCACCCGTGCTGGTTAGCTCGCTCATTTCTAGCCGGTTCACACTTCCATACCAGGCAGAAAGCCGAGTGGATGATGATTTGAAACATTTTTTTTATTTATATATCTCGTTGGGGTTTCCTTAATTTATACACTCAGTCCTTCGTCATTTTATATCACAGAACGATATTTTCTTCTCCATCGAGACAATCCACAGTGGAAGATGTCAGTGGTAGGATTTGATGTCGGATTTCAGAGCTGCTATGTTGCTGTAGCCCGAGCCGGGGGAATAGAAACCATTGCAAACGAGTACAGCGACCGGTCCACACCGTAAGTACAAAGAAATCGTCTCCTCGGTGTCATTTTGACTTTCGGATTTTTCAGCAGTCGGATTTGTCTTTGTAACATGTAACATTAGTGGCTATTATGAAGTGATATTTCGCGGGTTTATTAGTCCGGTAAACAATATCTTACGACGAGCACATGTGGACGGACTACAGAGTCGGTATGAGCCGACATTACTTTGCGACAATCCGCCGCACGTCGAGACGCGGCCGTTAAATAGTGCTCTCTGGTCCAAAGTAAAAAATGGATTGGAGGGGCCATCTAACTTGTGTGCGGGTGTGTGTTTTTTTTTGCCGATTAGACGGCTGCTTATTATTGTACAGTGATGCAGTTAGCCGGAGAGCTAGTTGTCAGAGTGACGGGCGGTGACGTCAGAGCGGCGTGCCGCGCGGCGGCCCGCAGATGGAATGTTCTAGCAACGTGCACCGGAAGAGCCGCACTCTGAACGGGCCCCCCAGATTCAGGGGGTACCCCCCAGGCCGTGCGCACACGGGCTCGTACCCCTGGCCACCGCTATGATGGATGGATAGCGTATAGTGGTCTCGTCATTCACGTCTCCTGTTAGCATGCTGAGCAATAGATCAGTCATTTTATTGGCTTTGCTGACATTCACGGCTCGCGGGGGCGGCGGGATTCTACATACTACATTCAACGAAATTCAAGGGAGATTCACATTTTCTACGAATTGTAATTCATCACTAACTATATTGCAATAATGATCGCACGCGACTGAATGGGAAAAATGGACCCGAAGCAAAGAATAGCTTTTGCTTTAATAATGTTTCAGTGTGCGAAATTTCTAATAAATGTGACTGCAGCTTATTGACCAGATACCACTTACAAATCTTTGAGAGAATAAAAATTGCAGTAATCTTGTCTTTCAACTGTCATTTTTTTTCAGATTTTTAAATTATGGATAAATGGCTTCTATGAAGTAGTTGGAAAACTATAAGCTACTATTGCTGTCTACACTGAAATGATTGCAGCCAGGGTTCACGTTCGATATGTTGTAAATGGAATTTTGCATGCCCTTATGTGAATTGTACTGATTTGCGCATTTGCTGCATATACCAGGTTGCAAACCTTTTACTGTCAGTGTTTTAAAGTTTTTTTTTTTTTTTTTTTTTTTTTTTAATAGAAACCAATAATTCACATTTATTCTTAAATCTTTATCAGGTCATGTGTGTCCTTTGGATCCCGGAATCGCTCTATAGGAGCTGCTGCCAAAAGCCAGGTACCCTCATAGTTTCCTGATATCTTCTGCTGGTAGTAATCTGTCATAATACAGTCCTGTACGGCAGTGTTTCCTAATCCAGTCCTCAGGGATTTACAGACGGTCCTCATTTTTGTTCCATCCCAGCTCCCTTCCATGCAATCTGTGGGTCCCCGCGGACCGGATAGAGAAACACTAATCTAAGCAAGCAAAAGGGGTCCCTGATTCTAGTACCTCATAGGCCTGTATCTACTGTATGCAGGCTTCCTAGCTGTTTGTCAGCGGGTTCAATTTGAACACAGCAGGACACCAATTTCAGTTAAATTACAAGAATGATTATCGATAATTATGAAATAAAAGGTTTAATTGCTTAAGTAGATTTAAAAACCAGCATGAACATCAGCCGGGTTCATAACTTGCCTTGATTAAAAGTAGTCTGCAGGATCTCCGTTTCATGTACGTCATTTTAGTATATAACCTCTAAAATGTATGTATTTTCCTCTTCACTCGCCAGATTGTCACACATTATAAGAACACGGTCCAAGGTTTCAAGAAATTCCATGGCAGGGCGTATTCTGATCCGTACATACAGTCCTGCAAATCAAGCCTTGTCTACGATCTTGTCCAGATGCCGACGGGGACAACCGGCATTAAGGTAATTGGTTAAAACACTTGGATTGAATCCGCACAAATTTAAGCACTGCAGTGGCAGTGCCTTAATTTGTTTTGCTTTTGTATTTTTTATTTTTTTTTAATTTTTGTTCATATTGTGCACGACGTGCAAAACGAGAGCGTAAATGACCTGACTTGTTCTGCTCTGAAGGTTATGTACATGGAGGAGGAGAAAGTTTTCAGTATTGAGCAAGTCAGCGCCATGTTGCTGACCAAACTGAAGGAGACGGCTGAGAGCGCACTGAAGAAGCCTGTGGCTGACTGTGTCATTTCTGTAGGTTTTGATAGTGTTTTATTCATTATCAGTGTTTTCTAGCTCGAGTAATGGATTAGTGCAGTGTTTCCCAACCCAATCCTCGGGGAACACTGGCCAGTCCATGTTTTTGCTTCCTCTCAGCTCCCAACGCACCTGTACCAAGTATTCGGTGTGCCTGATTGGCTGGGAGCTGAGAGGGAGCAAAAACGTGGACAGTCCGGGGTTCCCCGAGGACTGGGTTGGGAAACACTGGATTACTGGTTTTTAACATCAGTTTTTTGGTTAAGAGAAGTGAATAGCCCTCCTTTGTCATTATTGTGTGGTTTATGATTCCAGTAACTTTTAATCTTGTTTTTAAAAATATGGGTATTATGTGTACTGACATTTTGTACTATATTTTTAACCTTCATCTGGGGTACCCCTGTAGTAAATTAAAGCTCTGGGACATAAACTCGCTAGTGATGAATCTTAAGGTATTTGGGGACTGGACACTAGTGCCATGTTGCACGATAGGTCAGGGGCGTCAAAACCGATGTGTCACTGTGCCCCGTGCCCAGGTTCCGTGCTTCTACACCGATGCAGAACGGAGATCCGTGGTGGATGCTGCACAGATCGCTGGACTCAACTGCCTACGACTTATGAATGAGACCACAGCAGGTAACCAGACCTGATGCCGTGGTGGATTTAAAGGGACGGTTCACCCCAAAATATATAAAAAAATAAAATGTTTTTCAGATAACTTGTAGTTCTATTTATCCACCTAGATTGTTGTGGTGTGGTTGCTTAGTTTTGCAGATATCGTAGAAATGTCTGCCTTCTCTGGAATATATTGGGGCTGAATGACGTTCTTTCCGTGGCAAAAACGTACGTTAGTAAAATTCAACAGCAGCGTCTCTTACGAGAAATCATGACCCGGGTACTCAAGAAAATTCAGACCTCGTTGTGAGCAGTTTCATGCAGGAACTATTTTCTTTATGCCAAACTTCTCACTGCAACCGTATCGCCCGTGACAACGTGACACATCAATGTTGTCGTCCTTGGCTGAGCTCTAACTTAAGCTGGCTCAGTGGTGGTAGGTGAGCAGTATCAGTTATCAATGTCGGACTACGAGTTAGACAACGAGAACTGTCTCGCTCAACTGTATTTACTTAAACCAGAGTACACAGACCAAAATTAGAGCTCAGCCAGCGAGCAGGCCATTGATGTTTATATCCAGTCATGTTGTCAGTGCTGGATCTAGATGAATACCTAGCAGTACAGGCTTTCTGAAAAAAAGTTTTTTCTTTTTGATTTTGGGGTGAATTGTCACATTAAAGCGGAACAGAGTCTTTATCCCCACAGTCCTTTGGAATCTGGGCCTGTGGGGGGGGGTGTATCACGAAGCAGGATTTCTCGTTTAGTTGGGTTTAACTTGGATTAAAGTCATGATTGTCCAATAGAAATGCTCCTTACCTAAGCTCTTATTGGACAATCATGAGTTATAGCTAAGTTAAACCCAGCTAAGTGCGAAATCCTGCTTGGTGGAATACTCCCCTGGTCTGCTTGAGGAGATGAAAGGCTGTCCTTAGTCATGGCGTTTATGTGGAAGTTTCTGCATTTCTCCCACAGTGGCCCTGGCTTATGGGATTTATAAGCAGGATCTTCCTGCTCCGGAAGAAAAGCCGAGGACAGTGGTGTTCGTGGACCTCGGCCACTCCGGGTACCAAGTGTCGGCATGCGCGTTCAACAAGGGAAAGCTCAAGGTAGGCCGGTTCGTGGCTCGTCCGTGGTGTTGCCGGAGAATAGCGCTTCATCGCGGCAAGTGTCCCAGGATGCCTCGTTTGTGTGTTCCAGGTGCTCGCTACGGCGTTTGACCCGCAGTTGGGTGGGAAGGACTTCGACGAGATGCTGGTGAATCACTTCTGTGAACAGTTTGCTAAGAAGTATAAGCTTGATGTTAAGTCCAAGCCGAGGGCGTTGGTCCGGCTTTACCAGGAGTGTGAGAAGCTCAAAAAACTGATGAGTGCCAATTCCTCCGACCTGCCTCTCAACATCGAGTGCTTCATGAATGACATAGACGTCTCTGGGGTTCTTAATAGGTAAGCAGATTGCGTTAAGGTTGCATAACGTGAAATTTTTAATATTGCACGGTATCGGAATCTCTGTTTCGAAAGTATGGTACCTTTCGGCTGTTAACCCACTGCTTTGTTTCAACAGAGGCCAGTTTGAGGATATGTGTGCGGATATTTTGTCCAGATTTGAGGCTCCCCTGCGGAGCATCTTGGAGCAAGCGAGTAAGTATCCGGTGGTTCCTAGTGTGTCTCATCGACGTTTTAATGTTCCTTGAGTAGGACAAATACTTGGCAGATGTAGCGGGTATTGATCTGTCTTTCTGGATTCATCAGAGCTGAAGAAGGAAGACATTTATGCGGTCGAGATTGTGGGCGGAGCCTCAAGGACCCCCGCTGTCAAAGAGAGGGTCAGCAAGTTCTTCGGGAAAGAGCTGAGCACCACCCTGAATGCGGACGAGGCTGTGACCAGAGGCTGCGCCCTTCAGGTGGGTCTTTGCTTTAAACCGTACCCTTAAGGGGTCTGCACCCAGGTCCTACTTGCCGGTTCCTGAAGAAATAGCTTTCTTGAAGTTTATTGGGTAAAAGTTCATATTTTTGATTAGTCTGGGAGCCATATTTTACTATGATGCATAGCTGGTTAATCAGATTGGGTTTTTAGAAGGTTTATTTTATTCTCCAGTGTGCCATCCTGTCCCCTGCATTCAAAGTGCGCGAGTTCTCCATCACAGATGTGGTTCCTTACGCTATTTCCCTGAAGTGGAACTCTGCAGCAGAGGAAGGCTTGAGGTACGACCGTTGTTTCTGCTGGCAATGTCTCTCCACGGTGGCCCACCACCAGTCCAACTGATCAGTCATCTAATCTAAGCACGATCTCCGTCCCCTGTCCCACATTATTCAGTTGGTTTAGGCCAGTAATAGACTGTATTACATTATTTAGCTGTCACTCTTATAAGGCTCTAATAAAATTTGGAAAAGTATTTTCCAAGGAGATGGTAAACAGAACAGGTGACGACGCATCTCTCTCCTCACTCTTTTCCAGTCTAACCACTAAAAATAACAGAAAAATAACTAGCCTTTTTAAATTCATAATATTAAGCGTTTACCTCTATCGGCGGAGAGGGAACATGGATTAGGGACGGAAGATTGAGCTTAGATAGGGAGAGGAGAGGAAGCGAGGAGAGGAACGTATGCAGGCAGAGGGAGCATAAGAGGAGAGGAGAGGGCTGAGGAAAGAATGTATGACCGTGCTGGCCTGCTATGATCTCTCCTCCACCAGTACGTCCTTCCTGCTGAATCCGTAGATGCCCATTTTTTGACCTGTGCCTCTTTCAGTGATTGTGAGGTGTTCCCGAAGAACCACGCGGCACCGTTCTCCAAAGTGCTGACGTTTTACCGCAAGGAGCCCTTCACTTTGGAGGCCTACTACAGCTCCCCGAAGGAGCTCCCCTACCCAGATCCCACCATAGGTACGGAAAGGCCTACTTGTATTCCCGTGTGTGTTTAAGTGCTTGTCTGTTTGCTCATCAGTGGTGTGGTGGACTGAATGGAGGCTGGAAGGTGTTCTCACCTTATGTGGCTGTGATGGTCTTATGCAGAAATGACAGTTTCTTAGTTGTTCCCTGATTGAAGCCCTTAAGTTTGATTTAGGTGTTGCCTAACTGGGCCCCAGGGCAGATCTTGGCAAGAATGTTCAGATCATTCAGTTTCAGGGCGCATCTTCTCAGCTGGTCAGATGTGATGGCAAGTAATGACAGCCAGGGTGTAATGGAAATCAGGTCCTGAAACTGTACCAGGCCGTTGTGGTACGAGGATTTGTGATTAGGGCGCTGGAGCAACTTTTAAACTCTTTCTGTCGTCCGTCACAACCATTTGGTATGGAAGAGTAAGCTGCTATCGCTCTTGTCACGTCTCTGACTAAGGGGGGGTAATCGAATTATTATTTTTTTTTCTCCTCCATGATGCGTAGGTCAGTTTATGATCCAGAAAGTGGTGCCGCAGGCTTCCGGCGAGAGCTCCAAGGTGAAGGTGAAGGTTCGGGTCAACATCCACGGGGTCTTCAGCGTGTCCAGCGCCTCCCTGGTAGAGGTCCAGAAGTCGGCTGAGGTAGAGGAGCCCATGGAGACGGAGCAGGCTGCAAAAGAAGACGAGGTTCGGACATTTTTTCGATGCTTCCTTAAAGCGCACAATAGCACAGCTCTCGTGAAATTTTGCTGTCCGGCATAAAAATAGAATAGGCCAGTGATTCAGGAAGTCGGTTATGGAAGTGTTGCTCAAGAAAATCATGTCTCATTGTGGCCTTTTGTGAGGTTTATGTACACTACTCTAGATGAGCAGTCAAGGAGACATTTTGGAAAATGTGTTACTCATCTGGGAGTCCGAAATGAAGTGTTTGGACCCTGTTTGCCATGAGCATCTCTTATGAAACAATCTACCCCTTTCTTTAGAACAAGATGCAAGTTGACCAAGACGAACACAAAGCTGAAGGCGACGGGCAGAAAGAAAACACAGAGAAAAAGTCCGAATCAGAGGAAATGGAGGTTTAGGAATCATCTAGTTTGTTTCTAAACTTTTGTGCAGTTTTGGCTTATTAAGATTCGTTACATTAATCTAAGCCTCGTTTGACGCCTGGGGAACCGTTCTGTAATGTAAATGCAGGGTTAAAGAAAAAGACTACTCCTACTTACAGACTGTTTGGGTTAAATCCAGTGGGTTAAATCCAGTGGTTTGTAATAATGAACGCGCGCACTACTTTGTGACGCTCATGAAAACATTGCATGGCTTCAGCAGCTTATTGGCAGGATTCCATGAAGTATTGAACAGAACACTTTGCTAAATTAACATCATGCACACAACGCACCTGTCAGCATTTACAAATGTTAGACTTGTCGCAATAGGCGTGAGATATAGTACTTTTACAGTACTGTATTATGTACTGCACTAGGTTTTAGATGTTTTAGTGCATTTGGAAGTGTTTAAAAGTTTTATGTCCATAGAAAGATAAAATATACTCTATATACAAAGACAAACATTTGACTGACGCTAAATGTAACCATATGTCCTTGTTCTGGCTTACCTACAAACTCGACTTCAAGACAGACTTGGGGAATGGATCTCATTTAACCTGGGGGCTGCCTGTATGCCCCTTGGAATATGATGGAAACCTTGATGTGTGTTTATTTGATCTTTATTAATCCTTTGGTTGTGTAAAATTGGATCAGTAGTGGATTATGACTTGATCCATCCATCCATCCATTGGCCTGTTGGCTTATCCCAGTGTTGGAGCAGCATAGGGCATAAGTCGATTATTCTGATTGTGTGTGTGTGTTGGTTTTTTTTTTTTTTTAATCAGACTTCCTCTGAAGACAGCAAACAGGAAAAGAAGAATGATCAGCCTCCGCAGGCAAAGAAACCCAAAGTTAAAACAAAGACGGTTGATCTTCCCATTGAGAACAGTCTTCAGTGGCAGCTTGCAAACGACATGCTCAATCTCTTTGTGGAGAACGAGGTAATGCAAGTGTATACTTTAACTCGTCCATATATATTTCTTGGTTTGTCAGTAGTAGTGGGATGTGTGCTCACTTGAAATCAGAGGTGGAATGTTCAGGTCCAGAAAGTAGAAATCCACACCTAGATTTTGTTTCAGCCAACTAGTTGACTACTCCTGTGACTGTGACTCTTTACACTGAAGTGGTCGGTTGAAACAAAACTTCAGTCTGGATTTGTACTTTCTGAACCTGAACTTTCCACCTCTGCTTGAAATTACCCAAAATGTAGACGTGTTAAGGTAATGCATTGGGCTTTTGTAAATTTTGGTTGCATAAGTATTGTTGAAGCGTTACTGTGTTTATCACTTGGAACGCGATTTCATTCTTCGCAAAACTGCGATGAGTAAGTCAAGGGAGGCTTAAAAATAGTGTGCTTTTTTATCTGTCTGCAGGGCAAAATGATAATGCAGGACAAGCTGGAGAAGGAGAGGAACGACGCGAAGAACTGCGTGGAGGAGTATGTGTACGAGATGAGGGACAAGCTCCATGGAGCGCTGGAGAAGTTTGTCAGCGAGGAGGTAAGAGGTCCTGCTCCATTGATGACTTAAGGTAGCACATCGGCAGTCTGTGTCTCACGCCTTCACGCAACGCTGTGTGTGCTGCTGATCTGATCCAATGCAGGAACGGGATGCATTATCCTTAAAGCTCGAGGATACGGAGAACTGGCTATATGAAGACGGGGAGGACCAGCAGAAACAAGTGTACATTGATAAACTAGGTGAACTGAAGGTATAGTCTCAAAGTCCTGTTGCTTTTCAATGTGGTTTCCATGTGATGGTACCTCGGCTAAGTTCGGGAAGTTCCTATGGGTCGGCCAGAGGTATGGCTGTGTAGCTTTATTAGTAGGGAGAACCGAGTCATCTTCATACCGGTCAGTCGAGCAACGTTGACCTGCTCAGCAGTTATGGGGAAATACCGTTGAGTGTCACTGAAATTGAGCAAGAAAATGCCCTTTGTGCAGAAACTTGGCCAGCCAATCCAAGAGAGGTTCTTGGAATCCGAGGAGAGACCAAAAGCCTTTGAGGAGCTCGGGAAACAAATCCAGCAATACATGAAATTCGTGGAAGCTTTCAAAACTAAGGTGACGTGTGAATAGCCTTTTGTCTTCTTTTAAAATTTGGTGTTCCTGAGGTCTACAGCCGTTTGACTGAGCTGTCGTTCAGCAGGATGAGCAGTACGACCACCTGGACGAGGAGGAAGTCGGTAAAGTCGACAAGTTGGTGAACGAGGCCATGATCTGGATGAATAACAAAATGAACGAGCAGAACAAACAGTCCCTGATGGTCGACCCTGTAATAAAGTACAAGGATATCCAGGCAAAAACAAAGGTATCGTGCTCGTCGAGAAAGGGGACACTTCATAAATAACAAACTCTGTGAAATTACCTCTGTTACAAATGGTGCAACAGTCAGTTTTGAGAACCGGTGGGACCAGGTCATTTATACAAGGTCGTATTGGGCATACCGGGCCGACCTGCATGTTTTTACTGACAGGTGAAACTACCTGCATGTCCTGCATGTAACAGTCCTTTGACTATTAAACACGTTTTGTTTTTTTGTCCTCCTTTTAAGTGCCTTTGGCATATTTACCGTTTTCCTGACAGGTTTTTAGTAAAGTCAAGCCATAAGGATCATATTTTATTATATATTTTTTTTAATTAAAGCAATTTTATTCTTTAATTGTTCGGCCTGTTTTCTCACCATGAATGTAGCCTCGGCTCGGGTTAAAGTAAACTTGCCTTCATTCCTAACAACTCATTGAAGACTCATGATGGTTTGACAACATAACGGAGTTAACTTACAAGCCAAACAACTTTAAATGGTCGGCAGTTGTTGAGATTTGACTTTGTCTTCTAGATTCTTAACCTGGCTCATTTTGGCTTCCACAAATAAAGAGGGTACTAAGGAAATAGATGTCAGTCAAGCCCTTTGCTCAGATTTTATACATATGGTGGTGTTTTCTTCATACGATGACTGATTTCCAAAAATTAGATTTAAAAAAAAAAAAAAAAAAAAAAAAATTGCGGTATATGACCTTGCTTACAATATCACAGTATATTGAATCGTAACCCCTGTATCATTATACATTATGGTATCGTCAGATACTTGCCAATACAGGCAGTCCCCATGTTACGAACAATATCCATTTTCTTAGTTGGTCTTTAAGTTGAAACTGTAGATAAGTCGGAAAAATTGTACAGTTCTTAACAATGATACAGTAATTAAGTAACTGTATAAAGGACTGTACTGTACCTCGAGAGAACAAACCGTTGAAGCAGAGCAATGTTTTCACGAATGTTACAAAGTAGCGTGTGTGTCCATTATTACGAACTATTGCGTTTAACCAGATTTTTAATGTAATAGGCTTTATGGCAGTTCGTTCGTAAGTAAGTTCGTAAGTACGAATTGTCCGTAAGTCAGACTTTCTTAACCCGGGGACTGCCTGTTCACAGCCCTTTAATGGCGGCTTTTTTTGCTAACAAAGGGCTTATTGTAGACATGGTGAAGCCTCCTCGTCTGTGACCATGTGCTCCCTCCCACCAACAGGAGCTAGTTTCCACCTGCAACCCCGTCGTAACAAAACCCAAGCCCAAAGTGGAGCCGCCCAAAGAGGAGAAGGCGCCGGAGCAGAACGGGCCGGTGAACGGACAGGACAAGCCTCAGGGGGAGGCCGACGCCACTAGCCCCGAGACGGGCACGACGGAGAGCGCCGGCCAGCCCGCCGCCGGCTCCACAGACGGCAAGCTGCCCGAGATGGATATCGACTAACCGCTGCTCGGGCTTGCGGACCCTCTCCTGTACGCTGACGTGTTAAGATGATCGCCCTCTGACCATTACAGGCTGTTTGACATGTCCCAAAAAGTGCTCGGTCTGCCTTTGACACCTGATTGAATGAACTGAACGCGTATCGTTCGACCTGTTGTGAGGGTAAGGTCCTAGGTAAGAATTAAAAAAATAAAAATTGCTCGCTGTGTCAATGGCACATCTCGGTCTTAGGAACCTGTCTGTAGCTCACTTACTTCATTTCCACTAAGAATGTCAGCCCTAAATGTAAAGAGTAAAATATACTCGGGGGGGGGGGTCTTTTTTTTCCCCAAATGTGTTGTGTGGATGGAAATAATGTTCCCGGTTGTCTTTCTTGAAAGATTGTTTATTACAGCGTTTCCCTCTCCCAAGACACGACTGGTATTTCTGTTGTATTTGCAGAACAAATATATAAAAATTGTTCTCTGCCTTTCAGTCAAGTGTTTTTTTTTTTTATTATTATTATTTTTAAGCACTGAAGATGACGAGCATGATAATTTTGAAAGAGCAGGATTATTATTTTTGGAACATTATTCAGAATTCAAGTTTTAATAAAGAATCCACTCGAACACTTAAATCAGGAGGACATGGTCAGTGGCGTTCCGAGTTGTTATAGAGCAGTGTTTTCCAGCCGGGTCCCCAGGGACCCCTAGACAGTCCATATTTTTGCTCCCTCCCAGCTCCCTGCCATATAGTCCATTCTTGCCACCTAAGTTGGAGCTGGGAGGGAGCAAAAATGTGGACTGTCTACGGATCCCCGAGGACTGGAATGGGGGAACACTGCTGTAGGGGCATAGTGCAGTTTGACTCTGCCATTGCTACAAGTCACCTATTAATGATCTAGCGGCACTAACCCTGTTCACTTACTTGGTGGGTCTTTCTATCTTTACTGCACTCTGACAGAGTATGTAGGCTATTTAACGCAGGAAAGCAGCGAATGGATTGTTGCCTATTAAAGCGACACACTTTTATCCACATGTGTAGATGGTTGTTTCTTTGCAGTGATTGGAGTTTTAAGTACAACCGCAGAGTACAACCTGATGTGCTTGTTTGATTGTGTGACATGAATAATAAAATACTCCATTTGTATAATGAGTCCTTTCCCAGTGGAGCTGTGTCTGTGGGTAGCCTTTCATTGAGAATACATTAGTGATGTTTCTACTTACCGCGGATCACATTATGTACTATTGTGGTGAATTGTGTTCTGTGGAGGTGCATTTCTATTGTGTGTGTGTGTGTGTGTGTGTGTGTGTGTGTGTGTGTGTACATGTGCATGTATCTTAAGGGCTTTTTGGGACAATACACTGCACTTTCCACCTCTGGAAAAGGCACTGGAGTAGAGTTTTAAGGTAAGCTGGGAACTGCATGCTTTAAACTGCACCTTCCACACCAAGATGACCAGCATTTAGTACTTATTTTTCACATGGTTGTGTGTGTGTGTGGTCTGTGGCGCTACACCTTGGGTCCAAAAAAGTTATTCAAGTTAAATAATAGTGTGTGTATTTTGTGTCAGTTTTAAAACTGCTGGGCAAAAAATTGCAACACCCGGAGTGAGTTTTATTACAAATTCGAGCACTATGAGTGCTAGATACAAAAGAAATACTGGAAATCACTGAAGGGAAATTATTAAATGAAAAGCATGGGCTATGTAATGTTGTAAAACAGCCTTAATTTCATAGCAAAGATTAGAGGGTTTTTTTCTGTTGTTAATTCCGATGCCTAAGGAGGATAAGCCTTGATTTCTCTACCATTTCATCCCATATCACTTAAATGGGGGATAAGACAGGTGTCATGTTATGTCTGCTCCTACGTCATCTTCAGTCTTCTGCAGCATGTTCTAAATGTGTTTAGCCTGAAGTTTAATCAAAGTAAATATACACAGAAATACATATAGATGCAGGTAAAACACACATGACTATATATAGAAATAGTATAGACTGCATGGTTATAGGTCAAGCTATCGTCACAAATAATAATGAATATAATGTATACTTTTTGCATTTATAAACATAAATATTTGTTTGTAGAGTGCCACTTAAGCACCTCCCTGTGTGAAACGTGGCAGCCATTTTGCGCAAAAAGAACAAAAATGGTAACGCTTATTAGGATTAAAAAAAAAAAAATGTGGAGTGGGACAGCTGCGTAAAATTTTGGGTATTTCGCTGAACAAGAGCCAGGTATTTACAGCTGGGTCAATCCATCTAAGAAGATATATTGCTCATAAGAAGTCGAATGAAAGAGTTATCCAGAATGAGCCGTAATTGTATTGGGGAGCGCCATGAAATATGATTCTTATGTTTGCTATAGCCTGGGCGGCTAGTAATCCTGCTCAATCCGGCCCATCAAATATACAATCTCTTCCGGCATGAATCTTTTACGGTTTTCACGTGCGCTACGGAGTCCGTATTACCACCCTAACAAATACAAGCAGACCAGCACAGCAGACCAAAGACAAACTCAGTTTTACTTTTAAGCTGCCATTTAGCAATCATATCTAGAGAGACCATAAAATATTCAAGTTACTATTTCGTACGTACTCAGGGCACCTGTTATGATCACTAATTAAGCCCAGTGACCAGTAACTTACTGCCCTTGCATATCTGCAACGGGGCCTAATTGACCTCCAGAAAACAATCATTGGATATTTCGTGCACTTGTGAAGTAGAACCAGTTTACATTAACCTTTAAATATGGCATTCATACAGGGTGATTATTGGCTGTTTTGTCAACTAAAATTCGTTTTAGACAATGCCATCTTGTGGTTATATGATGTGACTTACAGCCACGGGACCGGGCAAAGGGGGGGAGGGCGCTAATTTAGAAGGATTGAACTCCGACCTGCAGAGGGCGCCGCTCCTTTTCTCCAACACCACTTCCGGTGGATTGCGTAGTCTGATCTTCCTGTCGGTGCGAACTCGCAAGGTAATGCAATACCTCTGTAATTAAACATTTGTTTTATGTCAGAAGCAGTACTTTTGGTGATGTTATAGATGTTATATTCATCCCTATGCTTTTTACATTTCATACTGGATCGGGCCTTCCTGTGCTATGATAGAAGATGTGGCTATGATAGAATTCAGCTAGAAAGCTGTGCTGTGTTAATTTGTTAACTAGTTAGGTAAGAGCAAAGTCTTTTGTCTGTAGACTTCGTTTTAAATATTTACTGGGGAGCTAATTCAATGACTTTAGCCCTTCTGTAATAATCATTTTAATAACCCAGGAGCGTATCGGCCATTGACTGAACATGTCGCCAGTGATAGTTGATATGTTTTGGAAACCTTAATGCAGGTTCCCGGGACAACGCAGTACTGCGTGGGCGTGGCAACAGATAAATTGCTAAATGTCACAAAAGAAAAACAGCTGCTGGCCGGCGTTAGATGGTGTGGCGCCCTAAGCTAGCATTATCGCCGGCGCTTATGCCCGAGGCAAATTGAAATTGGATTGGAAGTCGGCGCCCTGGGCGGCCGCTTATGCTGCCCGTAGGATAGAACGGCTCTGCTCACAGACGTTACCGTTCGTCCGTTCATCGTTCGCATGTTCTGGTGGTTGTAGAGATGTAAATGTCTGAGGATCAGGAAGCACAGGAGGATGAGTTGCTGGCCCTAGCGAGCATCTACAATGAGGAAGAATTCCGGAGATCAGAGTCCACTCAGGGGGGCGAGATCCAGCTCTGCCTGGAGCTCGCTAAGGATTTCAAAATATACTTGAAAGGTGAGGGCAGGTATGATTCCTGTACTTTTGAAAGGGTCCACTCATTGCCTGAAGCTTTGGATGAATTCAGACATGGTGTGCAGTGCCTGTTTTTATAGGAAACCATGTCCTTGCTTATCACCAGGGGGAAAACAAACAGAATATGCTGTGTCTTTTCTACCTCCTCTGGTCCTGAACTTTGAACTTCCCCTGGATTACCCATCAACCTCTGCGCCTGCCTTTACCCTGAGCTCCAAATGGCTGTCAAGGGCACAGGTAGGTCAGGTTGGAAACATACAGTTATACCATTCAGACATTATACTGTGGTGTAGCGTATTTTAAATGTATTCTCAAAAGTCGCGCTATTCCTAACGATAAAATTTGCTGAAGGAAAGTGCTGCGGAATACATGAAATCCCACTTATAATATAAATCACAGAATTCCCAAATCAACACAGTGTAACAGGAATATGTTTTTTTTTTCTTACTGGGAGTCAGTTGAGATTCCATGAATCAGCTATTTCATATGAATGAACGCAAAACAACCTCTCAAGTTCATGTTTCGCAAATCCCTTAAATTTTAATGACATCCTGTTTAACGGTAAAGGAGAGGAAAGTAAGTAGATGGAATATGTTTTTTTTTCCTCTTTGTCGTGGAAGAGTCCTGCATAAACTTATCTTTGCACTAAAATAACCCCCTTCCGTGCCACCAAGCTGACAGCGGTGTGCCGGCGCCTGGACGAGTTGTGGGAGGACAGTCGGGGCACCGTGGTCCTCTTCTCCTGGATCCAGTTCCTCAAAGAGGACCTGCTCAGCTTTCTGTCCATCGAGTCCCCGCTGGAGATCAGCAGCCCTGCCAGGGCCCCCCCGGAGCGGACGAAGGGCGAGGCGGACGCCGAGAAGGGCACCGGGAAGGACCTGCCGGACCCGCGGGCCGTGGTGGACGTGGACCCGCGCGAAGACATCCTGACACGGCTGCTGGACTTTGATGAGGCACAGCGGCAGAGGGTCTTCGACGGCAGGGTGTACAGCTGTGGCATCTGCTTCGCCGAGAAGCTGGGCTCCGGCTGCCTCAACTTCAAGGAGTGCGCTCACGTGTACTGCCGGGCCTGCCTTGGCCAGTACTTTCAGATCCAGATCCGGGACGGCAATGTCCAGTGCCTTAACTGCCCCGAACCCGAGTGCAGCTCTGTGGCCACACCCTCGCAGGTGTGCTCTTCTCTTTCCAGAAAGGGGGATAGATTCACTGTTAACTTGTATGAATTAACACATTTCACTTACTGGGGGTGGCATTGACTCGGTGGCTCAGGATGCTGTGGCGGTGATTGGAAGGTTGTCAGTTTGAATTCCAAGGTTGGTAGAGTGATTTCCCCGTTAGGCCCTTAAGCAAGGCCCTTAACCCACATTTGCTTCTAGACCTTGACGCAGCCAAAATTACGGCACGATCATCAGCACCTGGGCATCAAGCTTATACTGCGTGGATTCCAGAAGTATGAAATCCATTAACGAATGATTATAACGTCGTCCTTAAAACTGGTCGCTTTCTGAATTCCTCATCGCTTCGGGGAAAAAAAAAACGTCTGCAGAAATAAAATGTGAACGTCCTGTGAATGGACTGTTGCAGGTGAAGCTTCTGGTCGGGGAGGAGCTCTTTGCCCGCTACGACCGTCTCCTGCTCCAGTCCAGCCTGGATCTCATGGCGGACGTGGTCTACTGTCCGCGCAAGATGTGCCACTCGGCCGTGATGACGGAGCCCAACGCTACCATGGGGATCTGCCCTTCCTGTCAGTTTGCTTTTTGCGTGCTCTGTAAAAGGGCCTACCACGGGGTGTCCGAGTGTCAGACCACGGCAGGTACGCAGAGACCCTTCGACCGTCCAACCATATGCCTGTCCATCTGCCATTCAATGCTTAGCCAGCAGAGGGCCACGGTGAGTCAGGAAGCATAGGGTGCAAGGCAGGAAACACCCAGCAGGGGGCACCAGTCTATCACAGGGTGCACACACATATATACGTATGATTAAACATCACAGGAAATCTAAAGAGACCCCTAAGAATTCCAATGCAACCACTCTAGAGAAACTGGTGTGTCATCACTGTCCTACAGCAGGGTTCTTGGCGATGCTTCCTACCTTCGAATGTTCGGCATGTTCTGCAGAGGAGCTTCAGAGCCTGAGGGAAGACTACCTGTCCGCCAGTGCCGAGGGGAAGAGGTTCCTGGAGCAGCGTTATGGGAAGATGGTGATCCAGAGGGCCATCGAAGAGTCCTTCAGCAGAGAGTGGCTGGATCAGAATTGCAAGGGCTGCCCCCGCTGTGGTACCAACATACAGGTGGGGGGGCTGCTCATGTGGCACTTTGGCCAGTACTTGAGGTTCCAGGATGCGAGGCTGAGTTTTGGAGGCGGGACTAAGCTTTGGGGCTGGATATGAGGTTTGGAGGCGGGACTAAGCTTTGGGGCTGGGTCTGGGGTTTGGAGGTGGAGCTGAGTGCGTGCTGTCTTTTTGCAGAAGATAGATGGCTGTAACAAGATGACCTGCACCTCCTGTAAGCAGTACTTCTGCTGGCTGTGCCTCAGCCTGCTCACCCACGGCAATCCGTACAGTCATTTCAATAATACGGCATCTCCGTGCTACAACCGGTGAGTCAGTTTCCTTGAGTTGGCCATTGAAAACCAGGAAATTAAGGAACGGAAATCATTTTGATTAGCGTGACGTTTTGTTTTCGTTTAACCGAGTGTCTTGGTGCAGTAAAATGTGAGCCTCCAGTCTGATATCCAATCATGGTGGATGTTTCGCATGTGGTATAAAAAAGATGTTTGTTTCTAGGCTGTTCCAAGGAGTCAATATGAATGATGAAGGCGATGTATGGAGCGATGAAGAAGATTAGCAGTCAAGATACTGGCTCCAGAGTTTCCTTATTCTCCTTGCACTTTAGGATGCTTGTTATGTTATATTCAATATTGAGATGATTAAAAAACATCTATATTACTTTTTTAGTTTCTACTAAATGATTATTTTAGAAGAACATCTATTATAGTAAAACAGGGGACGATTATACTGATGATTATGACATTTTTATGTATGAAAATACAGATGTGTTCAGTTTGCACAAGAATAGTCTCTGTCCACAGCTGCTTTGCAGTCCTGTTCTGCTTCTCAAAAGATATTTAAGCGTTTCGTTATCTTTCTGTTGCTAGGGGAACCTTACTGTAGGCGCTGAACATTGAACTGAGGCTAAACAGATGTGGGGAAAAAAGGGGTATTGCGCTAACGTGCTGGGTATTTCAACAAGTGTGGCTGTGTTCGAAATGCCCAAGTAGCTAATATGTAAACATTAGCAATAGGGATGGTGATAAAAATACACCGAATCGGAGACATGGAACCCGGGAATGTGGAGGATTGTTGCATTAATGTAGGATTTTATTGTAGCTGTGTCCTTTAAGTGGTCACGTTGTGAAGGTGAGTGCATTTGGAGTGTAATTATTCGGCAAAGTGAGTGGGATGTGGACAGGCTGACTGCACACCCAGTGAGTATCTCCTGAGCAGGTACCTCTCTCTTTGTTATTAGTTTGACCCTTCCTGTATGTACTCTTACACGTGCATGGGATTGGTATCCCAGGCTCAGGTTAATTCTGCCTTGGCCTGAGAGAACCTCAGCGTGAACACAAACACACATGCCTCACTATCCTTGGCCGGCTTGCCACAGGCTCATCTTAGGCCCTGACCACATTCAGGGGAGTACCTAGAAATTCTGCCCCCTGACAAAATGACACCTTGAGCCCGCCCTGCCCATATTTTACATATAATGTTACGTATTCCAGGGCTGCAACCCCCCCCCCCGAATCTGTCAGGATATCCATGCCCCTCTGACACGCCTCACCACATGTGACTACTCAGAGTGATCAGAGCAGTTGTTTTTTTTTTTTTGGTTGGGGGAGGGGGGGTGGAGGTGTTCTCCAGCTGTCAAGTAAGTCTAGCATGGAGACTAAGCAAGGGAAGGGGGCATCAAGGTGGTGGGGGGGACGGGGACGTTTTATTAAATTAGGTTTCTGCTAAGAGTAATACAAGCAAATACTACAGATCAAGCAAGGAAGACATCAGTAAACCAGGTAATGGTTGTATATCTGCATGGTACTGAGACTGGATGTCGTGGCTCATCCTGCATCGTGGATCCCACACAGTCACTGTCAAACCAGCAGCTATTTACAGACCAGGGCCCTGGGTTTTGAATCAGCCATCCAACGGCACCGGGTGTTATCATATGTAAACCGGACTGCTCCCTTAAGAAAGGGATCCCAACAAAGCAGAGGAACTCTGTAAAAGGTGCCAATTGAAATAAATATACTTTGTGTTTAATGCAGTGACTCAATTTTCGTATTTTTTTTGTATTTATAATGTGACAAAATAGTTTTACATTAAACTTCACTAGAATATCTTAAGTCACCTGCATGTCACTGCTGATTACTGAAAACCTTGCAAGCTTTTGGACTAAATATTAAATCATCTTGCTGTAACGGAGAAGATAATCTTAAATTATTAGTTGTGTGAAACAATGCTTGTTTTACTGTAGCGCCAGAACACTTTATCCACATTCAGCTGTTGGTACAGAATGACAGGAAAGGCATCAGCAATAGTAAACAATGAGACTGGAAAATGACAGCATGTTAGCATGTTTGCTGAGAAAAGAGATGTTACATCGTCAAACTGCTAATCCAATTCAAGGTCACAGTGATCTTAGAACCAGTCCCAAGAAGCACTGGGTAGGAGGAAGAGGAATGCCAGTCCATCGCCGGGTGCCAAGGATAATGGCACATTACGGGCAATTCAGGAATGTCGAATCACCAAGTTAACAAAAATGTAGAAATGGATCATAGCCTTATGAGCAGTATTAGCATACAAAGCTTTATCAGTCTAAATCCTAAACAAATAAAAGCCACTAGGATCTGTGACGCACGCTAACACCATGAAGAAGGACCCTGGGTTGTCATCAGTGGCAGAATATGTTTGGAACAACATAGTCCCGTGGAAGAACGTGTGGGCTGAACATGATACATAATCACTGTTTGACCTGTCTGTGATAGTTTGGACGTACCCGACTCCATAATCACATGTTTTTGTTTTTTCATTTTGTGCAACCATCAAATAATATTTTGCTTAATTTGAGGTATTCCAAGTTGTGCAAGGCATCCAGAATAGTTTTATTATTAGGTACAAATAAAGGGCGTGTGACACGATGTCACTCCTGTCTCAAAATTGCTTTGCTATTTTTTTTATTAGTTCATACCTTTGCTGCCCTACCTTTGGCATGTTTTAATTAATGCACTTAAATTTTAGCCGGTTCAGTGACACGGGTGAGATTTTATATTTCCAAAATTATTATCGTCCATTTCGACTACTAAAGCAAAAGAGAAAATCATCTATGTTGACAATTTAGCATATATTAAAATATATGAGCTGAGAAAGGAAAACTGTAAACGTTTTGCTGAAATATATGTAGGCCTCAAAATTTTTATTTTTATTTTAAAACATGCGGCTGCCTATAGGGGACAGTAGTGTTGGGTTTTGTTTTCACCGTCTCCATTAGCAGGAATTCGCCTGAGAGCAGCGGAGGGGAAGCGGGCTTGTGGCGTCCCACGGATAGTAAAAAAAATTTTTTTTACATTTCTTGACGGGGAAGGTATTGTCCACCTTTTAGTTTTTGACCTGGGCTCGGCTTTCAACGTATCGCTTCATAATGGCTGAACAAAGCAGTAGGTACCAGCAGGTGAGTAGAATTTTAAAAGGCGCTGGACACCGTGGGTGCGTCGGCCGTCCTGTCATTCGGCAGACGGGCCCGCCTGCGCTAGGCAAGGCCGGGGATGATGTTTTGCTTGTAGGCCGCATTGTTTTGCTTCGCAGCGGTCCTTTTAGCTATCTTAAGGGAGTAAAGAAACGCGTTCAGGCTAGGCTTTTACCATGATTTCAGTCGTCGGCAGTTTTACATGAGATTTTTATAGCTTCTAGCGAGTCAGTAGCGATTTGTATTAGGACTGAACCTGGGTGTGTAATCATGACAATACCACTGGAGTTTTTATATGACTTGCGTTTTATTTTCTATGATTTTAGCGTTATTGGTACCAGGCTGTAACCAAAAACTGTCCCGTATTTGGTTCCTCTTGCGATTCAAGATTCATCCGAGTAGCCATTATCTATGCACTTTTAATAGGCCTGCGAGGGCAGTTGACTCCAAGTAGCTGTCGTAACGCCCTTGTCCGATATCAGATTTTTTAATGGGTTCAGCAGAGATGACCAGTGAGATTGTATCACGGAGCTCGTTTAATGTATACTAAACTATTTATGGAATGTTAGCTTCCAAGATATACACAGCATATTACTGCTGTACAATTAGGGCATTCATTTTAAGCCAACCTGAGCACGTAATGGCATGAATAATCAGTATTAGTTGCTCGAGTTTGCTAAGATGCAGAAATGAATCACCGGGAATCCGGTGTTCCGGGCAATTCAGTTTCCCTATGTTTCCCCTGTCGCGCACTGATTTGTACACAGTTTCGCTGTTGTTTTCATGTCTTTTTAAGAAGCTCTTGAGGTAAACAAGCCATATATTTTAAAACATCACATGCCTTTTCGATATTTTTTGTTTTTACAGATAATAAATGAAAGTATTTAATTCGCTGGATAGAGATATTTCTTGATGAAAACGGTATAGTATTGCTTATATAAGACTATATTATGCGTGACGATCTACTGTATTCACATGTAATAATGTACCTGACTGATTTTCAGACATCTCACATACATATTTGCCCAAATATTAGGAGAAACTATTTCCTGACATCCAGGATATTTGGTTCCCCCCCGTTAAAAAAGGTATACAGCAACTCTGGGCCTCGGTACTAATAACAATACAGTATTCACATATAATAATGTACCTGAGTGATTTTCAGACATTTCACATACCTCTTTGGTTTAATATTAGGGGAAACATTATTTCCTGAAACATAGGGAAACCAAATTGCCCGGAACACCGGCTCTCTATTAGAGATCCTGATTAAGGTGAGGGGTGTAGCCATGTTTATTTATCTTGTCTTAGTTGTGTGACTGGACGTTGTATTGACTAATGTGCATTTAATGAAATCGCTTGCTTTCTGTCTTTTTTTTTGTTTGTTTGTTTTTGAGGCCATTTTAACCAAGTGTACAGGCAAAAATGTGCTGAGGGGTTTCAGTGAAGTGACTGCTATCCTTTAAGATGGTAGCCTGCTGAGAATTGGGATTAGAAATGTTACAGTTAGGAGGAATAGCTGGCTTTGTACACCTGCATCCAGGCATGTCTGTTGGGGTGCATAATCAAATAAGGGGTGTGTGTGTGTGTGTGTGTGTGTGTGTGTGTGGGGGGGGGGTAGCATTTTAAGTTGCTAAAATGTAAATCATTTAAAGAACTTGAAGTTGCGGGTTAAGGTTTCTGGGAATTAGGAAGTTCACAGTACAAGCGGTTAGTTTGTTTGTTTGTTTATATATATATATATATATATATATATATGCTAAATTCATGCGGTACCTGCTGCTTAGACTTGCTGTTTCATATTGGTTTGGATATCTATTGGCAACGACGTGTGGGACATGCAATCTTTAAAGTGTAACTACCTTGATTAATGTTATTGGGCTGTTCCAAGTTTGACAGGTATCTAGTTGTGTAGAAGCAAACTGGATTACGGATTGAGTGTATTAGGTTTGTAGAAGGGATGCCTCTTTAGAACCTGTTAATTCATTCACTTGTGCTCAGTAGGTTGTGGAGTTTTAGTGTATGAATGTGTTTTTTTTTTTTGGCAGAAAATCTGCGTCATGTGTGTGTGCATCCATCAGCGTGATCAGTGAAACTAAAACTGAAACTGCCAGTTGGTTTCCATCAAAAACGAGAGTTCGGTCCTCACTATCGTTTCGTTCTTTGTTTATCCCAGATGTTTTTTATGGCTTTTAGAAGGTCACTCTTGTCGAGAGTGTCTTTTCTTGTCATATTTGTTCCTGGGTGATTCTCCAAACACTTCGAGTCAGTCTTTGCAAGAATTTGTCATTCTTTCCTTATCAGTGGGGAAAGTCCTGTCTTATCTGTGTCTCTGCCTACAGCTGCCTAACGAGGAGGAGCCAAGGGAGGCTTCTCAGGTGGCTGTTGACGCCCCCCCCCCATACAGCAGTATCGCAGCAGACAATGCTGGTAGGGCTGTACTTGCGTCGCACACCCTTTTACGCCCTTTTACACCCTTTTACGCTCCAGCTAGCTGTGAAGTAGTATAGCATGTTTATTATTGCCCGTTTTTTTTGCCGCCTTTGTGCTACTTACTGTGTGTTTGTTTTTATGTGTTGTCTTGTAGTGTTGGTGTTAACAGAATAGTGGCGCTTTATTGATCCCTGTGAGGACAATACCTTTATTTTTGCCCCATTTTGCTCGTCATGAGAAGCTTCGGGGGTCACATCGAAGGGGCAGCTCAGGGAGTTGGGTATTAAGGGCCTTGCTCAAGGAGCCCATGGACATGTGACTCAGATTGGCGACCTTCGGATCACAGGCACAGAGGCGTAGCTTCCTGTAGATGTATCATAAGCCTTTAGGGGGCGCCATGTCTCTTTTTTTTTTTTCTTTTTCTTTTGTTTGTTCAGTTTTTTCTAATAAAACTTCCTGACAACTGACTGTTGTGTAAAACCTATACTGCTTGGATTTTTAGGTCTCATCAGATTCACTGAGGATCTATCCTTAATCTATGCTTAATTTCTGAAATCTAACTTGCACATCTCCGAAAGTGAAAACTGTCGAAATTTGCTGACCACATTCGGTGTCTGTTACTGTGTTACTCACTGCAAGGCAGCGCATGTACAATGATCTATCTGTGCAAGCAAACGAGAAAGAGCACGGGCAGCAAAATGCTACATATACCTGCTGAAGAAGACTTTCCAAATCCTGTGACTTTTTTCCCCCACCCCCCAACCTATAAATAGGACTTTTTGGAGAAGCAAAAAAAATTAAATCGAGTTTAGTTGTAGTATACAAATATGCAGTGACATGCAGTTTTTCTGCTTATATGGTGAAGTGGTAGCTGGGTGCCAGTGTAATGTTGGGGAATAGTAAAGATACTCAGGATTTTTACATTATCATAAGACCCTGTGACTTAGTTCCCAAATCTACCGTTCAAGGTCACGTCTCACTTGGTCAGCAGCGGCACGTGATGCTTGAGTTTCTAAGTGTTACCACTGATTTGTCAATTCAGCAATAATCACGTTTTCAGTTCTTGTATATTCAGAATTTTCCATCGGTTGGTGACCCCATGGACGATGTCGTATCACAGTGTTTCCCCTACCATTAAATTAGG